CATCAATCCATGAAGTTTTTTGGCTGAAGGTTTGTACCACGTCGAGGGGGGGGGGGAGAATACTCCACTGGTGTATTCGAGATGCTACGATCCAGCCCATATGCATTCACTCATTATGAACACACAGATCCATCAAGCTTTTATTATTCTCTATGCACTTAATTACAAAATGAGGTCATGGGATAGCACTATAAAATAATGTTAATGGTATTTCTCTTAATTTTTTCATGCTACAATTGATTCCTTCTCTACATTTATACTAAAATACTTTCCTTTTGAAAAATAACTAGGTATTTAAACAGTGAACACTTTCATTATCTTTCAGTTATGTGTCTAACGACAGTTTCAATAAACAAAGTAGGGAAGCTTTACTCCTTCTGTAGTTAGTATGATGCAACAATAAAAGCCTGTAGATCATCCAGTTCCATTCATCACTATCACGCCAGTATTTTTTTTTATATAAAAAAGATTGAAGGAAAAGAAGTTTGGAAAATCAAAGAAAGTGTTCCGATCAAATGGATTTTCAGACACGATTGCCTGTAGGCTTTTACTTCCTATCCTACAGGATCTCCTCCAAGTCACCATCAAACACATACCTAAATCGCCGCTCACTTCCCATTCGCGTCACACTCGAGAGCCCGGTGCTTAATGTTTATCACCCAATCGTCTTCTCAACATGTGTCCAATCCATCTGAATTTTCTTCGGCATATTTCCTGGGCAAAAGGTTCATGGTTAGTTCGATGCCTGACAGAATTTCTTGTCGCCTATAGAAAGAGTTGTGGTTTATTTTAATATCCACGTACAATACTATGAATACTGATAATGATGGCTGGCTGGCTGGATTCAACACTGAACTTGGCACCGAAGTGCAGCAGTTCGAGTTGCCACGTTCCAAATAGCACACAAAGGTAGACAAGAAAATGAGTGAAGAGAATCAATAGAGTTTTGACAAGTATAAGAGTGAAACAGAATGAGTAATGGTAGAAAGGAATATGAAAGATTAAAGAGACTGAATACATCTGCGTAAGCCATTGACAACGATTTTGAGCCATGTCACCTATTGTCTCCAGCCTTCATTGATTCTTAGAGTCCCGAGGGCGGGCCCCAACCCGGAAGTCTGCATCTCCCTACCTGACTCAGTTTAACTGTCAGGGATTTCATGGATTGATGCCATGGTTTTGTTTGGCCACCACTTTCTCTTTTCCAACCTGCACCTATATCAGCTAGTAATGCCCGTCGGGGGAGACGATGGTTAGGCATGCGCAGCACGTGGCCTAGCCATCTCAATATATGAAACTTTATAGCCTCGTCGATTGATTTTCCCTCTTTGCCCAACACTCTACGCCTAACGTCAACATTACTTACCTTATTATACCACCTAACGTGAGAAAGAGATCGTAGACATCGATGATCAAAAACAGTCAACCCTTTCATGTCTTCAACTCGTATTGGCCATGTTTCAGAGCCATAGAAAAGGATGGGGCGAACTGCTGAGCAGTACACACGCCCCTTGGTTGACAGCCGGATGTCACGCCTACGCCAGAGCTGGTGTAAGTTAGCGAAAGCAGCCCGAGCTTTTTGGATCCGTGCTGAGATTTCGTCACCAATCAATCCGTTGGTGCTGATACAACTTCCCAAATAGGTGAAGTGGTCAACATGTTCTATCACTTCACTCCCTATCACTAAGGTAGGAGTTGACGTAGTCCAGTCCTGTAGCAGCATCTTACATTTTACAGGGGCGAATCGCATGCCAAACATACGAAAATGGCTTCTCAAGGTGTTCAGAAGACTCTGCATTTTGTCAGCGTCCTCTCCTAACAGGACTATGTCGTCTGCATATTCTAAGTCCATAAGACTATTCCCTGGTAACAAGTCGACTCCAAAGTCGTTAAGTTCAGTTAAGGATACTTCCATTAGCATATCTATGGAAGTATCCTGATAATGATACACGAATGTGTAATTCACCAAGCTGAGAGAAGTCAATTTTAATGGAAACGGAAATCCAATTAATTGAAAGTGAGTTATATCGACACTACTGAAATAATCATCGAAGATAATGCAGGGGAACCAACGAAAATCAATGCTTTTTAATGTTATCTTCTCTGAGCTGATTGGTTTAATTGTGGAAGTATCCGCTGTCCCTCCAGACATCTTCAGTGCTAACTGTAATGCAAAGTGAGCTTAGGGAATTCTTCATGAAGGACAATGAGAGCTTCACCACAACTAAACCATCTAGTTCAGAGAATACAACAACGCCAAAAGAGTATCCATTTGAACAGTAAAAATCTTCTTCATTATTTCAAAAAAAGACCATCTAACTATCCAGTATACATCATTATTTTCCCTAATTTCTTCCTGGTATATTATTCTTATCTTTTAGAAGATTAATTTCTTTCTTCTAGTTGTATTTATTGCCTTAAAATATGTTTTTGGCGTCTTCAACCGTATCCGTAGGTCACAGAAAGAGAGGAAATGAGCTTATCAGAAATATTGGAAAATAAAGTCTCTCTATCTCGTAATAGAGTGTACAGGTAAATCCCTTAGTATTCCAACTCTCCCTACCTCTCTATATCTCTGTCTCTACGATATACCATATAATGCCCTTAAAGAGATGAATGAAATATTCACGAGATTAAAACTCTGGGGATATACTTAATAATAAATAATATATGTATGCATAGAATGCATGAAGCAATCTTCTCGCTAATATAGTTCAACTGTATTAGGATGAAGAGATAACAAAATTACACTGGATAATGTTTGCTTGATCAACTAAAAGGTTGCAAACTTTACTTTTAGCAAAGTTTCAACTTCAGTAGACACAACTTCAAAGTATTATATCCCGAACAAGGTTTGAAGCCAAAAGTAACGGAAAAATTAGGAGGAATACGAAAGGGCAAAACAAAATGATTCAGCTATGCAATAAGACAGTGTCCCAGTCATTAGCTGATATTATTTTCTCCCGTTTTCTCCGATAAGCATTGACTGTTCCTCTTCGATATACTACTGTTAGCTGTCTTTGATTACAGATGTTTGCATACTATCTCGCATGATAAGTGGTACACTATGGTGAACAGTACAGAAGTTAGCCGTACAGTGTTAGGTAAAGAGGGAAAGTCAATCGCTGAAGTTGTGAAGGTGAATCAACTGAGATGACTAGGATACATGTTGCGCACGCCCGGCCACCTCTTTCCTCCACAAACAATGTTAGCTGACATAGGATTGACTTGGAAAAGAGTTAAGGGTGGTCAAATGAAAACATAGGATCAATCCATAAAGTTCTTGACACTTGGTTTGAGTTATACAATGAGGTGTAGATTGTTTGGTTGGAGTCCTCGGAATGCTAAAATCCAATGAGTGGAGTCTGTTGGTGAAATGGCTCAAAACTGTTCTCAATGGTGAGGATACATTCACTATCCTTGATCTCACATATACATCAAACTCTCGTGTTTTCTTTGTTACTATTCTTCCTCCCATATATTTCTGTCTATTATAGTTCATTTGAATCTCTTTTTCGCCCCTTTTTGTCTACTTTTGTGTGCTTCATGGAGTGTGGCAACTTGAACTGGAGCACTTCTGTGCTACGTTTCATATTGGGACCCAGTCTGTCAGTTATACTACTAAAATTATGGCACTAAAATATTAATCTCCAACTTATTAGTAACAGGTTTCAGCATAGGTTTCCCAATGTTTTACTGACGGGTTGGCTATGGTGATATACAGCCATTCTGTATATGAACCTAGACTTCAGAGGAAACTTAGCGTTAGATATCCTAAAAAGGAGAATTTCTACTTTCGTGGAGAAAACCTTTCCTGTAGAAACACTTAGGCTGATATTCTCAAGCTAACTACTGCTTTTAAGCAACGTGATGGACAAACCCCCGTATACGACCACTCCAATGTGCTCCTGCGGAGCTAAGTACACCAATCGTTCCATGCTCGTCTTTTTGAAAACATGTTAGAGAACACCAGCCAACATGATTGCGAGGAGGCAGCACTGGTTCAGTCAGAAACGTCATCATTGAATACTTTGTCAACACCTGTCACAGTATCTCAACTGACTCATCCATCATTCAGAGTCATTTACAAAGCAGAGGCTTCGTAATGCAGAAGATTTCGACATAAGCATCAAAAAGTCTGGAGCTATGTGTTCAGAAGAAACTAATCCAACTTCTATATTTGCCATAGATTGAGTTCTCTTTGACACCTAAGTTTTCGTTTGCGTGTTTTTTCACTCCCTCCACTTATTCATCTTCAGTTATAAAAGAGCTATTATTTCAATCCGTTTTTATGCACATTCCATTTAGATCTGTCTTTGTTAAAAAGAGCTATTTTACATATGACGCAACTGTTTTGTAATCATATGTCATTTTGTCTCTACACTCCTTGTAATCTATAGTCACATCTTTAAACTTTCATTCGAAGTTGAAAATTATTTTCACCACTTAATCTACCTTCTTTATTATGTTACATAATAATTGTGACTATGTAAACTTGTGTATATAAATGCGATTGTATAGCTGATTTTGAGGATGAAATCGAGCTTCTTGTTCCTCTCACTTTAATATGGCCAATTGACAGAAGTTAGAATTTATTAGGATACTGGATTACAACTCAGTGTGTCCAGCTCATAACATTAAGGTACTGGGTTTTGATCCCAAAAACACCAGAACGAAACACGTCTGCAGTGCTCCATGGCTTTCAATGTTTTTATAACTAAGGTAAGGGTCGTGAAGAAACTATCTATTCTCATTGTACAACGCTTCAGTCAATCAGCATTGTTACCTATTGAGGAAAAAATTGTTGTACATGCTCCCTGATAAGTAGAGACAGGTTGATACTATGGAATTCCATAACTGAAATGCAATTTCTTATTCAATTTAAATTTAATGAATTCAGAAATTAACACAAGAGAAAAAAAAGAAACTATGAATTATTAAGAATAAGGCAAATTAATTAATTAATTAATTAATTAAATACACATAAATATATAACTTACTAGAACATCATTATTTTCAGTAGTTTTACGAAGATGATTAGAATTATGATTGACTTCAGTTGAAGAGGTAGTAGCAGTTATTGTTGTAGTAGTAGTAGTAGAAGTAGTACTAGAAGTAGTATGAGTATCAGTAGTATTGAATAAATTACAATTAGAATTACGACGAATTAAACGTGATGATATTTTACCAGGATATGAACTAGACAAATCAATACTAATACGTGGATCCCAAGGGAGTTGATTTTGTCTGCGTGTTAAACCAGCACTAGGTCGACGACGATAATTATCTTGAATAATTAAAAATTACATTAGAAGAAAGACAGATGGGCAGATAGATATTATACAATATAATGAGCGTACTCACAAACTACGTTTTTTAATATATGTCATATATATTTATATACATACAGATTGTAGAAGATGTAAGACAATGAAATAGGAGGAATAGAAGAAGTCACTCTCTTAGTTACCTTAATTATGCCTATTTCACGTGAAACTAACTTGATACTACTTAATAGGATATTTATTTACCTCTTAAAGTAAGTAAGTAAGTAAAGAAAAGCATGAACTCGTGACCTTATTTATATTTTTTTAAATAATGAATAAATGATATGTATATAGAGAGTTAAATAAGACAGACACATATAAACGACGCAAAATCTTCTATTCAAAACACTTAAGGTGTATTGATTTAAGTTGATAAACATTACAATAGTAGAGCAGAGTTAGCTTATATTATATATATATATATATATATATACATAGATGTAAGAGTTAGACTGGAAAAGAGATAAGGGTTGTTAATCCAAACTTATTATTTATTTGGTTACAGGATTTCATCACAAGCTGACATCGATTAGGGAGCTGTTGGAAAACCTGGAAGTACTCGACAACTGTGTCCTCCTAGTGCTTGGGACTCCTTATCGATACGCACTCACTGGCAGGGTTCGAACCCAGGACCTTCAGGTTATAAGGCGAGCTCGTAGACCATTAAAACACTGGGACTTGATCCAATGGCCAGCTCATGAATTCCAATTTCTGCCAGTTCATGAAATAGCGCGACTGGCACTAGCCAATGTCATCGGTGGCGAGTATTTGTCCTCACGCCCGAACTGCTGTACCCTACTGGTCACGACTTCCCACTAGAACCCCCGGTGGGTGCGTACTGATAAAGAGTTCCAAACTAAAAAGAAACAGGCGTTCAGTACTCCCAGATTTTCCAATGGTTCTCTAACCGATGTCAGCTCATGATGAAATCCTATAACCAATCAATCAAATTTGACAAACCAATACTTGAATTTATTATTCACTTGGATCCCGAGTGGAACATATTGGCCTAAATAGCACATCTCAGTTTCACCCTGTTCTCTGCAGTCCTTTTAGGCTGACTCCAGGATTACCCATAACATTTCATCTACCTACGTACACTATCGTCTCCACGTTACCTTCTGACACAGGTTCAACCCATGGTTTCTGATTTAAGTTCCTTTCTAAAGCCTCGCGTGTGGTGTCTCTCACCAATTTTCTCATAGGATGCCCAATCCATTTCATTCTGCATACCTGTTGGGTAATACGTTCTTGGTTGATTGCCTTTTAGGGTTCCTTGTTGTTTATCTTTAGTGTAGAGCCAACGCAACTATTGACGAATAGCTGCAGCCTGTTGAAAATGACTTCGGTGACGAGCGATATCACTGTACCATACAGGAGAACTGACTTTACACTAGTGTTCAAAATCAGAATCTTGTTTCTTATACTGAATGCGGCTGATTTGCACATTGCTCTCAGATTAATAATGAAGGTCTGTGTTGAGTTTTTTATTTCAGCTTTGACATCTGCTTGTAGTTGAAACAGTGCTGCCTATTTAAGTGAAAGAAGTTCAAAACATGGCACAATACTATTAAATCTCTGACAATTGGTTTTAGCCGCGTAGGTCGTCTAAATAAGGATGCTCAGAATCAGTGGTGTGACACTGTTGGCGGCATGGCTCGAAGTTATTCTCAGTGTTGTATATTTATTCTCTATTTGTTGCCTTCCAAATTCTGGAAATCCTCATATGGCCAACTCGAATTATTTCTCCCCCCCCCCCCCCCAACATACATTCTTTTCTGTTGTACTTTAAATGCATTACTTTTTCTCCTAGTGTGCGCTGACTTGATAATTCAGTTCAGTTTGGTTCAGTACCTTAATTATGCGTTAGATAGGAACTATATGTAGGACAAATGAACGGTGCGTCGGTGGCACAGCGGTTAGGATGCTCGTCAACCATGCACATGGTCCGGGGTTCGATCCCCGGCAGACGCACTCCTTTACCTCGAATCAATAATAATGTCAATGAATTGCAGTTTCCCGACCGAAAGCTGCCACCTTGACGTGGTGGTCGGGCTTGAACACCTCAATGACCCAACGAGCTATACTGGCTGAGACTTATGTCGCTTGAGGTCCTACCATGCCAGAAAGTTTGTTTGGATAGCGGTTAGACAAAAAGTTACCCAGTCCAACGCTATGACTCAAACAAAATCACAAAATATCATGCCGGATCGGTCGGGGCCCGGATTAACAACGACCGCGCTTCCTGCTGCCGTGTCACAGGGCAGAAGTGATAAATATGCTACTGAGACACACCAAATAAAAAAACAGGTCGCGTGTGACCGGCCTCAAGCAGTTGTCCCCTGGACTCTGCGGTCACGCAACCAACTTCCACGGCGTGGGCAGCCGGGAAGTAACAATCGCCCTCGCAATCCGAAATGCACAATACGAAAAGACGGATGAACAACTTTGTTTCCGAAAACAGTGCATCAGTAAAGGTGATTGACACTTCAATAATGATATAATGCAGTTGAATCAAAGTTGTTCACAAAATGAAGTAATGCGATTTTTGATTTGTAAATAATGTGCATCCAGGCCTTTATGATAAAATAAAACAAGTAGCTTTTCAACGAAGATGCTATTTGACTGGATGCTAACCAGTGTCATGCATCTAGTCCTTTGTTTGCTGCAGACTGAATCCTATCCGTCAAGTTTGCAATGTGGCTCGTCATCACGGTGCACCCAGAATTATTAGATCTTTGGAGGCGATCGGCAGGAAACATTGCCTGACCAGGGTTTTGCGCTTGTTGGCACTCACTAGTCAGCAAGGTGTGTTTGCAGTCCTTGGGGAATCCATGTCCCTTCTGAGATTCGAACACGTATCACCCAGTGCTGAAGTCAGAGACGTTACCACTGAGCTATTCGGGCTCCATATTGAACTCCTGACGGTCTGTATTGGATCCTTTGATTGGACACTAACTAGTGTCGAGTGTTAGTCCTTTGTTTGATGTAGCTTGAAGAGAATCTTTTCGGTGAATTCATTTTCTCTAGTTGCACAATCGTATTTCTATACAAATTTTTTTCCACAAAAGAAAATTGTGATAAAATTGGTGAGTTGTCATAATCATAGTCGCTAATATAAATCAATACATAAGAGAAGTTGAATACGGGTGTTAGAGTTAGGTATTGAGATAAATAATTTAGTGATCGGGTTGTCATCAGTTAGGGTGAACATAGAAACGAGAAAAAAATGACCTTACGTAACAGTGCCAAAGAAATAGGAGAGTTAAAAAAGATTGTTTTAAAAAAAGAATCAGGTTGGTTGAAAACAACAGGATCATTACCACGAGAGTAGAAATGGTTGAATGATTCACTTTTTTATATGCAGAGCTGCGGTTTCTCAGTCTACATGGCTAGAGCTTCAACAATGCAGAAGAGATGAACCAATAGTTTCCAGCCACTGATTCTTGACATTCCAAGGAGCCCAACTAGACAGTCTAAACCTCCCTACGTGGCTCAAATCAACAATAAAAGCTTTTAAAGACTAATTCTTTTTTAATCCAACCCTACGTCAGCTAGAATAGCTCGTCGAGGAAGGCTATGCCTAACCTCGATATTGTTCATCATATTGTAGTAATTATTAAAGAAGACAGAACGTGAACACCTATGATCGAAAACACCCAACCAAATTAGATGAAGAGAGCGCCAAATTTTATGGTACATTTATTCGGTACCCACAATCAGTAGCAAAAGTCAGATATGAATATTACAAATTCCTTTGTTTATTGTTTTCTTCATTTCGAAATTAATTTCAGTGGACGTCGTTTAAATGCACGTTTGTGAAATCTAACTACTTATTTGACAAAAGACACCTACATAGGGCGCTAAATAAATACCTTACAGTCTGTTTAGTCAAACAATGAAATATGCTAATTATAAACAGACAATATTTAAAATGAATTCATACACACTGATAAAAAATTTCACCTAAAAGTTGTTATTATCTGCACTGAACTGAATGAAACCCCATCTCCACTTTGTTATGTCTGCGTCGCTAATTGTTATAACGGTAATAAACTCCACCGGTACGCTAATATGCCTATGCGTCCGTTGTACCATCCGCTTCACTGAGCCACGTAAATATCAAAAGACAAAGGCTGGCGCCTGTGACTGTAAGATACTGTACATTTATTAGGAAAGCAACACATCATATTTATACATTTCCTTTGCTACAATAAAGTTGGCTCACAGCCGTGAGAAATGATTGATCACATAATAAAATCACAATACTATACTATTTTATACTAGATCCTATTATCAAAAGTCTATAGTGACTTAAACGCCGAATAATATTAAACAGAAATGAATATATCAGAACTACATCAAAACATGGAATTAATCCATGAAGTCTTTGACTGTTGGTTTGAGATGTCTTCGATCACAGACATTTGTGTTCTATCTCCCGCGTTAAATGGCATAATATAGTGAGCGGCAAGTCAATTGATGAGATTGTCAACGTGAATCAACTGAGATGGCTAGGACGAGTGTTGTGCATTACAAGCCACCGGTTTCCACAATCAGACATGCTAGTTGACATTGAATTAGGTTGGAAAAGAGTCATGGATGGTCAAACCGAAACCTGAAGTCAATCTATGAAGTCTTCGACTGACGGTTTGTGTCAACCAAATAAGAAAGTATAGATTGTCTGGTTCAGGTCTTCGGGATGCTAAGAGCCAATGGCAAATAATCATTCTCAATGGCACAAGTGAATTCACTCTGTGTAATATTTTACATCTAGTAAATTCTCGTTATTCTTCATGTAACTATTCTTTCTCAAAGGAAATTTTCCGTTTATTGAAGTTGCATTGCATTCTTCTTACAACATTTATGTATGAATTATGAAGTGTGGCAACTTGAACTGCTGCAAATTTATCCAAAGTTCTACGACGAAAATTCAGTTCAGAAGTATGTTCCAGGATGCCTAATTCAGAAAAAATTGTCAATTGATACAAACATTTGTATGCTGTAAGGAAACATTTTAACCACCGAATTAAACTGATACTAACTAAACACAGAAATGTGGAGGACTGATTCGCTGAATTCAAATAAGGATACTAGAAAATTTTCAAACATGAGACAGTGTGGTAACCAGAGAAAAAGAACCTGAGAAGACTATTCAATGCCACAAGTGTGTTTAATCTGAATACAACAACAAAATTCACATAATTTACGTATAGACTTACATTTCACCTTCTGAACAGTTGAGAAATTCGATAGTATATCCAATTGATTTGCTGACGCTGACAGACGTGAACTTTTGAATTCTGATGTAACAGTACCTGGCGTTGCAGGTGTGACACTTCCCGAGGTTGGAATACACAACTTCAATTGTGTGTAATCTATGCCTTGATTAGGACTTAATCCCAGAGTATTGGCTAATATTGATGCACCAGGTACACTGTTGTTACTGGTTCGTATTACACGTGAATGACTATCTAACTGTGGCAGTTGACGTTTAGCTAATCGACGTTGTACAGCTTCTAGTAATGTTGAATACTTTGGTGTCGGCTGACTTCCATCTTTCTCTAGATAAGAATGTTGTAGAAAATTTCCAGCTGTTTTTAACAGGAAATTATCTGCACGTGATACAGCAGCTAATAGGCAATCCAAATTACCGGCACCAAGGAGATGAGCTACAACTGCTATACAATCTAACGTTGCAATCCGTACCTACAATATGCGAAGGGAGAAGTGATTTATTCCACAATATTAAAAGTATTAATGGAAGAGATTGAAAAAGAAACAAATACACATGTATACTCGTTCAGTAAAACAGCCATCTGGATGACTGTACAATTATACTGATTTCAACTGTGAGTGATATTACTCAGAGTTTTCAACCACATCTCGCTTCCTTCCACCACATTTCCCAATCTATCATAATGATCCTGATGAGATGTGCGCACCAGAACACTCATCACTATCATATTATACAGTGATACAATTAAAGGCATAATTTTTAAGAGAGTTATACAATGATAAAATGTACTTCATATATAACCAATGTGTTCTAATAACTCTAACTCCTCTTTGTTACATGAAGAGATTGAAAAACCCATCACCTCAACTGATACAACCAACATTCCTGCTACCGACAAGAGGTGGTCTATGACTGTGGACTCGATGAAGTAAAGCTTCCTGATTGGATGGGTTTATTTGATATAGCACACTGTGATACAGTATTGATAACTGGATGACGTTTCGAGCACAATTCATTTCTCATAATCATGTCAATTTATTCACACAGCTTCATCATTTGCTCCACATATTTTTTCTCTCCCCTTTGTTGTTCATTGAAGTTTTCCATTGCGTCATTTCAATTGGACGTGTTTGTTGTTTATTCGATGAACAAATATTCGGTTATTAACCCCACTCTCCACCTAACTTTATTACTTTTTAATACTTTCACCATGTCCCACCCTATTGTGTAATGAAATGCAAATGAATGCAATGCATTGGTGGAGCTTTTTTCTCGGTTATTTAACTTGACAGGGTCAATTATTCTAGCTCTGGCTAAATGCCTATGTTCTGATGATCTAACTGACGCCGATCTACTAGTTTGTGCAAAGGATTCGCAATGCATACACTTGCATTTAACCACACAATAGATTGTGCTTGAGAGGTATTCCGGTTATTATTACTGCACCAAGTAAACGTATCCAATATGGAATAATACTCTATCACAGTGCCCAAATGCTACTCATATAGTAATAAAGCTTTCTGAATCAAAATAATCTAGAATAGCATAAAAATAACCTAATCCATGTATCACTCAGATTTTGTAGTGATACTTTAAGGTTTCTTGATCGTTTATTTGCTTTCTGGGATAGGTTTTTTTTTGAGAGAATCTTTTAATTTCAGTTTAAAAATTTAAACATTATGTGCAGTTAAATATTGGAAGATAGATAAGTATCTGCTTCATAAACTGCTAACAGTTAAAAAAATAAATTCTCAGACGGTCTAAGCAGAACCGTGCATACAGTAATGAGTCATGTTCATTTTTGTGGAATCAGAGATACTGTAGAGCCCTTACTACATATTAATTAAGACATTGTTCAAATTCACCATTCACCGGTTTAAAACCACATTATCCAAGTAGCAGTGAAGAATAGCCTCTCGATTTAGGACTGTAAGAAAAGATACGGACATTAGCTATTAGCTTACTAACACCAAAAGCTGAAATGATTCCGAAATTCAACAGAAAAATCTTCACTTGATTTTAAAACACCCTCGGATTAGCGCTACCACCGACCAATGTCGTCGGTGGGACATCCATCCTCACACTTGACTGGATACACCTCAATGGTCACGACTTCTCACTAGAACTCCAGGAAACTCCGTCCTGTAGCAGGTCACTAGTGAGCATCAGATTAATTTTCAAGAGTTGGTTTGTAAGGATTTGATTTGTTTTTACGAGTTTGACCACGCGTTGAATGGTATACGAGCTTGTCTTGAAACCAGAAGGTCCTGGGTTCGAACTCTGGTGGTGGATACGTACTGCCGATGACTCCCAAACTAAGGTCAAACAGCTTTCCAGTACTTCCTGGTTTTCAATGGTTCTCTAACTTATATCAATCTGTGATCAAACTCGTAAAAACAAATCTAATCCTTACAAACCAACTCTTGAAAACCCTCAGATTATTTTAATTTTAAAAAGATTCAATCAAATCCAGTGCTCAATTTATCCCACGAAATGGGTAACATTTATAAACTTATAGGCACATTGCTCCACATTACGGTACATAAAATGCAATCAAGTTACATTGTTAACCCATCAATGAATAAAAAGTAAAATCTGAAAGACTGAAATAACATTCCAGGCAGAGACACTCGAAAACTTAGTTGAAAAAAGATTTTTAAAAAAGGCAACCAAGGAATCTATCATACAAAATGACGATGAATATAAGTTTGAATTTGCGTTAGATCATAGATATTACACGTAAACAAGAACAGGTCTCCGCTTCAGACTAAAACGACTCATTTCACTGATGTATTTCCCATTACAGAGAAGACAATATCATCTTAAACAAAGAAAGAAAAAACATTGGCGCAGAATAATCTGGATCCATTTTATTTTGTTGGTTCTCGTCAGCTGCGTACAACCTGAATTTTTTCATAAAAAATGTGTACAATTTTAACAAACCTTTGTCCATTAGCAAGCATAGTGTCAGACCGTCATAGAAAATAAGGCATTGAGATTTACAGGGTGTCTAAAGTGTCACGACATATCTTGGTAGAGAGAAGTTTCTTGAAAAAATTATTTCAAGTTGTGTTGTTAAGGTGGTAACAAAAGACAACTAGCAATAGTTACGTAATTAAAAAAGAGAAGATCAAAATTTTAAAAATGCGGTGAACATCTTATCAAAAAATCCTCATGTCGTGACACTTTAGACACCCTGTAAATCTCAATGCCTTATTTTACTATGACGGTCTGACACTATGCTTGCTAATGGACAAAGGTTTGTTAAAACTGTACACATTTTTTATGAAAAAATTCAGGTTGTGTGCAGCTGATGAGAACCAACGAAATAAAATGGATCCAGATTATTCTGCGCCAATGTTTCTTCTTTCTTTGTCCAAATTTATAAAAGGGAATCATTGTATGAAATATCATTTTATCTTAACTATATCCTGTTATTTGAGTACCAAGCCAGGATAATCTTCATCGCAGCACACTTCTGATAAGTGTAATATGGTTGAAGGCAATCAGCAAGGTGTTATAAAAAGCACGTCGCTGATCTCTTCACAGTACTAAACAGTGCATTGAATCCAGTTCAAAAAGTTCACTAGCAACATCAATGATTACAATACTGGATTACATGAGTTCAGGTCTCTGTGTGGAGACAATTTCCTCAGGTCTTCAAACACGCCTAAATGATAAACACAACAAAAATGTGAAGTCTAGGTTCAGTTCACTTCTTAAAACTACCACAATGAACACAGTGATTGAATGTTTGAATGGCTAAATATACAGAAACCTAACTTCCAACTCTCTTAAATGCCTTATCATGAATCCTGTTAAAAATGTACAGTCTATATAACAAATTTATATAAGAACAAAATAAATTGGATACGGAGCCAAATTTAAGGGAGTATCAGAAACGAAAAGAAAAGCATATCGACATACAGAAGACGATTTCGTCAATAAGGAAAATTTTCTTCGTCTTTAATTTTCTTCATGAACTAATTTGCATAGGCGATAGGAGTGAACAACGACCTTATTGTAAAACAGCAACAGGATATCTTACCGATATGGCACGGGTAAGATATCCTGTTGCCCTTAAAATAGTGAGTGTCTTGCGCAACATACCAACTGAACAAACGAGATGTAGATGCTGAAGGCAGAAGATATGAAGATAGCATTACACATTTGACTATAGGGGATTTACTTCATTGATCTTATGAAAAAGTAACATTGAAATCAAAACGTAGAGTAATGCGTTAGGACGGTTAATTGCTGCAAATACCGAGCTTTCACCTTCCTAAGCGAGTAATGTTTCCCGATGTAAGATTATGTCGAATAAACATTTACGAACTGAAGCCAAAAAATGTGATCAACTGACATGAATTAGAAAAAATCACTGGAAACCACAAGGTACTGGACAATAATGGGATTAGGACTCATTCAACAGTGGACGATAGTTACTGTTTAGCAGATTCAAAAGATTTATGGGGTTTAACCTAATAAAACTATCGACAACCATAAACTTTTGTTATATCATGAAAATTGGCTCTAGTAAGTATAAATCATTGATAAATTGAATGAAATCAGAGCACTCACTGTAAGGTATGCTACACATCGACTCAGTAGTGGTTCGACAGCAATCAACCTGAAAGTCCTACACCTTTGAATTACTCGAAAATATTCCTATTTTATGCAAAGGTCTGTTTAAATCAATAGACTGAATAGTTTTCAATATCCAGGAAAATGCATCAAATCTAATCTGCTCCATAATGTTGTTATCATCCAATTGCATCCTAAAAATTGCAATCTCCACAGTAACGCCCATTTCTAAATACATTTCAGCCTACTGATATAACTTTTTTTCGAAGGATATAAAGTATTACAAATGATTGGAGAGTACTTTAGGCGGAATTGTATTGCCTCAAATGATAAACTATCGATAATTATGGTTATTATTACTATCATTATTGATTCTGTACAAGGAGTAAACATTTCTCAATAAAAACACGCTGAGAATTATTTACTATGTATAGACATATTTTTCAAAATCAACCTGTTATTATTAAAACTACGGATCTAAAGCAGTTAGTAAATAGCTTCCGTGTTCCGATTTGCAGTAAGTTAATATTCTTATAGGAATAAAATTCAGAGAAACTATATTAAATTGTATACGATTACAGGAGAAATTAACCACTGACACTTCTGTCCAGGTTGATTAACTGACTGGTTTCAACGTAGAACTTTGCACAGATGTGCACTAGTACAAGTCGTCACACTCCATGTACCACACAAGGCAAGAGAAGATGGTAAAGAGAGATTCAAAAGACAGATAATAAACAGAAATATGAGGCAAAAAAGTAGTAATATGGCAGAACAATATAATTTTATTGGATATTATTTAGCACAAAGAGTGAATGCATCTGCGCCGTTTAGAACGATGACTTTGAGCCATATCACCAATTGTCTCCAGACTTCATTGGTTTTT